ATATAGGCAATAAGATCGATAACAAGTTCATTCACCTACCAGTCACATCACATTAACATAAAGATATTAAATAACGTCAATGTTTTAATTAAATTGATTTAATATTATCGGAATGTAGGGTTGTAATTCATTTTTTTTATAAATTACGAAATACATAATATACTTACTTTCATGAAGTACATCCTTAAAAAAAATATGTGTTTTCATATTCTATATATAAAGGTGTTTAACATTTCCTGTGATAAAAACGACAGATACCATATTTAGGAAATTATATTTTACTAATAGCATAAATACATACGTTACACGGTTTGTGTTTTATATTTATTAAGTAAAATAGATTTTTGCTGATAGGTTAACCATGTGTCCGATTATAACATATACTTTGCTGCCAATATTTACTATTGGAATTGAAAAGGTGTAAAAGTGTTTCTCGTTTTTGTGTCATTTTCTTTTGACTAGAAACTTTCTGTAAATCGTCTCCATTGTAGTATCCATGATTCAGAGGCATGTCTTTATCAACTAATAGAAGTGGTTTGATTATCAAGAAATATACCCCATTCATACGACAATTATTTGCAAATCTCAGTATATTTTGCAAATGAGTAAATTTACTCACATATGCAATTTTTGTTGTATGAACTGATTCACTCATTTGCAGATTCTGCACAGTTGAGTAAATTTACACCTGGTCTGGACTAGGTGTAAATTAACTTCTTCTGCATACACTTTGTAGCAAATTATTAGTTCATGTGTGTAAATTGTGTCGCATGAACACGCAACAGATTTACTTATGTATGTATTTTGTTCTGTTTATTTTATAAATTTTCATTTTAATTGTTGTTTTGGTTGTGTATGCAATGGAATGTAAAATATCAGTCAGTAAACATGGTTGCTAGATTGATTGATTAATTGTATATTGTTTAACTCCCTCTCGAGAATTGTTCATTCTTACTAGGCACTAAGAGCCATTACGCAGGGAATGATCTTTTCCTTGCCAGCACCTGCTGCGACACGGAACCTCCGTTTATAAAGTCTCATCCAAAGGATCAGACTCCACGCACAACAATGGGATTCGAACCTGCGACGTAAGGATCAAGTCCTTATTTTGCGACTCTATAGCATACGCTCAAACCTCTGCGCCACACGCCGACTTGGTGACTAGAAGGCAAAACTTTTGAAAACAGGAGCTATTATCCCCACCGAGATAACTTTTTTAATTGGCAAAAACGAGGGCATCTTGAACCTTTCTTGCAAACCTATTTTTATGTCTCTAAAGATATAGAGTTGTGGTCCTAAACAAGTGTCCTGTACGATCAATAAGTAGTGCCCTTACTGTGCAAGTTCTTTTCAAGGGAATGCTCGGGAGCTATGATAGGAACATGCATCCCATCAACCGCTCAACCCCATTACCATTTAGCTCTTGATGACTTTTTTCTACGTTTCTGTTTTTAATTCAGGGAAGCTACTTATATATAGATTAATGTTACAGGAATTTCAATAAACTAGTGAAAGTAAGCATTCGTAAGTAACCTTTACACCTGATCTCATCATGAATGTCCAGAGGTTCCTGTTAGTTTCCTATTTACATCTTTGTATTGTTCAAAGATTGTTGAGATCAATCACTGTTAGATTTTTTCACCCTTTTCATTCTACTGGAAAATATATGATTATTAATAAAATATTCAAGCAGATATTTTATAATGGCCTCGCACACTTAACATACTGTAGCTTTTCCAACAGCAAAAATATTTTGAATGGTCCTATTTCTGCCAAAAAAAGTCAACTAGTAGATCGCAAGTTGAATTTTTCTTTACAACCAATTGTTCTTCTACAATCTTTGATACGGAAGCAAAAACATTTTCCAACAATAAAGCAATATGAGCTGTATTTTTGAGAAAATTATTTTGCTATTTATATGTGTTATTATGATATAATTTGTATATGATTTAAACCCTTGTGATTAATAAAATCAAAGTAAATTGTTTTAATTGTTTCAGAAGAATTTTTTTTTGTACAATCGAATATAGAGCATTATATAAGAGATCAATAGTGCACAGGACGACAATAATGTAATTTTGCTATAATTAAAGCTTATATATAAAAGTTCTTCCATCACAAATATGAGTAACTGTAGTTTATAAATGTTTTTTTTTTCTACCATTGAAAAAATTGATTATAAATTTGCAATACAAATTTCCCATGTCAATCTTGCAGCTCATGTTGATAATTTTATTACGTTTTGCTTCTTCGAGTTTAATTCTTATACCATTCTTTCTCCCTACAGTCATTAATTAAGTTGTACCAAGAAATAAGTGAGGAAGATCTAAAAGTTGGTCTTAAAGATTAGTCTTACAGACTGTATACTCAAACAGAAAGGAAAAACCCTTTTCTATAAAACTTCACAATTCTGAATCTGTTCATCTCCTTAATCTATATGAATATGTGAGGATTAACTTACTGTATATAACTTTCGTCTGAACGCATAGCAAATTAACTTTTACTTACCTATGTAGATTTACTTATATGTAAATTTGCACACATGAGCAAATTTTCGTTGTAGGAATGGGGTATTATTTCCAGGAATTGTTTACGTTATGTTTTTGACAATTGATGGATACATCACAGTTTTCTTGTTGATTTTATATAGCATTTATGCAAGAACTTCATACGTGTTATGTATTCATTTCATTATATTCTATAATACATATGAGACTAATCTGTATCTTAAAGACTGTGTATAATTTATAATGTATAATTTATCAAAAAAACAAAAAAACAAAAAAACAATCCATAGTATATGATTCTCTTTTGGTCACACGATCCCTGCAAAAACCCTGGCTTTTTACTTAAGAATTTAATTCTGAAAACTCACAATCCATCTCTGACTGATGGATTGTAATAGTTCTCCTGTGGTTTTTTAATGGTTTCTTTCAGTGGCAGTCGACTTTTTATTCGTCTTTTTGCAAGCAGTTCTCTGCGTTGCCTTGACTTACAGAAAAAAAAACCTCAATCATGAATGGTACAAAATGATAACATTAGTTTTCATCTGTTCGACTGTCTTCTGTATTAAAAACTTAGCAGTGTTTTAAAGTTACTTTCTGTAATCTAGCATAACGAAAGATATGCCTCCTGGAAAAAAATGAAAGTTTCAGACCGTTAATGTAAAACAGTTTTCTATTCACGGCAACTTTATACATACAGTGATATTAACCGCAAATAAAGTTGCTTGCATATGCTAAAATGTATTGACAATCAAGTTTATTTCAAGATATTTCAAACAAGAAAATATTTCTTTTTAATTATTTCCTGCATCCAACTTGACCTGTAACAGTTGACGTTCTTACTTAAGGTAACATTTGTGCCAGCTTTATGCTGTAACTGCTTTTAAAATTACACGTGTACATTTTTTCATTACGTCTTTCTTACCTAGTGAACAACTGTGAATTCACTATTTTCTGTGAGGTATTTATTTTCGTGGTTCTTAAGGTATAAAATGAAAGACCCATGAATGTATGTCTATCATAATATCATTTTTACAACTAAATTACTATTAAACAATTCTTTAACCATGAAATCAAGTCCTCATAAACGAATATATTTTTCTCAAACCTCGAAAATATGTGATGTTAGAGTTTCATAAAGACGATAGCATGACGCTTAATCTCTATTTTTATCATCTGGTTAAAGAACATTACACCCGACTTGTTAACTGAAGGCTTTAACATTAAACCCGATTTGTTTCTTTGTCTCTATGTGCAGATTAAGCATTATTTCAACAAGCCCGAGGACCGCTTGCCTTTTTAAGTTAAAATAATAAGTGTGCGATTCATGTGCAACATTAGCTATTCACCATTTTAGTTTTAACTTTATGTCATTGAAATTAGACATTATGTATACACGGTAGATAATACAAACAGAATTCGGAAACACGTTTTACAACTTATATTATTTCCTTTAGTTAAAGAAATTCACCAATCTGGGTCTCATTCATGGGTGTCGGAAGCAAATTGAAAGCGGGGGGGGGGGTAAATCGAAAGTGAGTGTGTGGGTGGGGGGGGGCATATCAACAAAAAAGGTAAATCAAAATTACCACTGTCTATATAATGGTTAATCCCCCCCCCCTCTCTCTCAGGTCTTGACGCCTTTGTCATTTTATCAACGTATTACGATTCTTTTTGAACATCTATCAATAGTACTTTTCATTTTTTTTTTAAATTTTTAACAGGCTTAAAAGTATCCGTATAGAATTTTCTGATATTTGTATCTGACAAATATAACAATGATGATTTATAGTGTTACATTAACATTTAGAGGCTTATGTATCAAAGTTGAAATAAATCAATAAATTCTTAATAATCTCTTAGAGTCAGATAATTTTTCACTTTGAATTTTAGAAAATTGCTGATTTCCAATTTCATTCAGTTTGAGTTGATGAAGGAATATATATATCAAAATTACATATTTAAAAGATACATATGTAGCTAACAAAAAAACATTGTACAACATCATAACATAACAGGCATTAACTAAATTAAAAACAGAACACCTTTCATCGTTAAATTTTAAATTGCAATTTAAAAAAAACGTTTATGAAAATTCTTGACAATTCATATGAACTTCGATAAAATCGATACCTAAACAATAGTGAAATATAGAATACGTAACAGTTAGCCAATCGCTTTTCAGACATTGATTATGGTACGATATATATATCTGGCTGTTGAAAGACCATTTAGCAGAATTTCACAGATTCACGAGAACGCTGCAGATTTTTACGCAACAAAAAAAAATGAGCAATCAGTGGGTTATCACTTTAATTGTAGGCTTCTTAGCTTTATCTAAAGCTACCATTATTTCTCAAAAATATGCTGCGAAACTTGACTTTAACGATAAGAAATCAAACAATGACCTTTTAGCGGAACATAATGCTCAGTCGTTGACTGAGTGCGCCGCAATGTGTCGAAGGGAGTGCGTGTTTTTTGGTTTTAATCCTAAAATGAAGAAATGCCGTACCCACAAAAAAAGTCTAACGTCGGGTACCTCTGAGGAGGCCGGCTGGAGATACTACTCGAATAACGGTATGTTTATTTGGTTTTTTTATTCTCTTAGCTTCTTTGATTTTTTAGGTCCTTCTCGAGGGGACAGGATTTTTTTTTATCAAGTTTCCTGTATTTTTTTTTTTTTAGAATTTTCTAGCATGCCCAAAGATTGCAAAGATCTTCGAGAAAATGGACAAACCATCACAGGGGTGTATGATATATACCCCTACAGAACATTAACCATTCCAATAAGTGTCCACTGCGACATGACCACGATGGGCGGTGGATGGACGGTAGGTTTTTTTTTTATTTTATAATTAAAAGTACTTAATATAACACACTTTGTTTTGGTGGTTTTAAAGATTTTAGGATTGTATTGTAGTTTATCTCATAAAAAATGGATCCTACGACTGTTCGAAGCAATAAATTGAAATGTAATGTATGTTAATTTTTACAGGCAATTCAGAAACGCGTAGACGGGTCCGTGAGATTTAACAGGACCTGGACGGAATATAAAAATGGTTTTGGTTCACCGGAACAGAATGTCTGGATTGGTA